AAATATCGCCTTGAATTCATTTCAGCCATTTTGTCTGAAGTCCCCACTGGAGGCTCTTGAAAACCAGTCGGGTCTGGCTATTGGGACTTGCTCTAAGCCTGTGTGACAATGTCGACAGCAAGTGCTAAATAAGCTCTACTCAGATAGAACTTGTGCCAGGACATCTCCTGATAACCGTAAAGACTGGCGAAATGCCACATCCAGCCATTCTTGCTGTAGGTCATGTGTATCAGTAGATTGCACACAGGAACATGCATTTATTTACTCTTCTCATATGATTAAGTCTAACTCATCAGACACAGGCAAATATACAAATATACTCCATACAGGTACGTATCGTGTTTGCAGTTTATTCAACGCCAGGTACTGATTTTTATTTTGAAGTAACGGGCCCTGTGTAGACAACCATGACATGTGCCACATGCAATGCTCTTTCTTTCCAGCTGGATCCTACCGCCAGTCAGCTGAACTCCAATGACGCCTTTGTCCTGAAAACTCCCTCTGCTGCCTACCTTTGGGTTGGCCAAGGAGCCAGCGATACTGAGAAATCAGGAGCACAGGAGCTGCTGAAGATACTGGGAGCTCGCCCAGTACAGGTTTCTGAGGGCAGGGAGCCAGGTGAGGGAGCGCAGTGGAGTCTGAGATCGTTTCTGTGTAGCTGCATCTTCTCAGTAGTTTTTTTCATGGATTTTGTCTTTTTTCTCTCCAAAGAAGGAAACACGGACACAGGTGGCTTCTCCAAAGTGTCTGCATTAACAGCACACTCATGTTTGTAGGCCTTTGGGACTTTCTGACATAGAAAAGTGCTTCAAGTCTTAAACAAACCAGACTGCTACTGCAGTGTTCATGAACAGTTGAAGCATCGGTATCTCTTTCTCTGTTTCAGATAATTTCTGGGCAGCTTTGGGTGGAAAAGCTCCTTACCGTACGTCTCCGCGGCTGAAGGACAAGAAGATGGATGCTCACCCACCGCGTCTTTTTGCGTGCTCCAACAAGAGCGGACGCTTCACTGTGAGTATCTGAGAATACGGTCGTTTAATTCAATGTCCATCTGACAGAGCTGGGAGAAGCTCAGTCCCAGTCTGCTCTGAGCTGACCAAGAGGCTGATCTGCCTGATCTTCCCTGGCGCTGTGGCCTCCAGGGGGAAAGCATCAGCCCCCTGTTCCGCAGAGACAGCGGCTGGCTCTGTTGTGCTGCTGTGTCCAGCCGCTCTGCGAAGCACCAGGCTGGTCCTGCCCTGGATAACCCCTCGCGCTCAGACTCCTCGAATTTTAACTTGGGAATCTTTCAAGTAGAAAGAGGCTCATTACAAGCCTTGGGCATGGATAAGACGGCTTCTCCAGGTGGACAGAGCTGGATTTTGTGTTCTGCGGTCTAAGGACACTTCTGTGACGCAGCCTGAGTTGCCGCGCTGAAGTCTGGCTAAATGCATCTCACCCTCAAGAGGGGAAACTAGAACCTTTGTGAACTGGGTTCCTCCTGAAAAGGTAAACAGGCATTGGAAGTACACACTCATCTTAACCTTCTATTTTCCAGATTGAAGAAGTTCCTGGAGATCTGACTCAGGATGACCTCGCTACAGATGACGTGATGCTCCTTGACACGTGGGATCAGGTATGTCACGTTCAGCCCGTGAAGAGAGGAGCGGGGCACAGGCACAAACCGGCTCGGGACTGAGACCCAAGTTACACCGGCTGTAGGAGTTGTGTTAGAGGAATTTCATCCTCAGGCCTGGGAACAAATCACCTCACTAGTGACAGGGGAGAGAACTTACATCCGGAACTTGAGGAAAGAGCTGGTGTCCTGCTGCTGCTTTGCTTAGCTGAAGGGCTGAAGAAAACAGGCCGCTGCGTGTCGTATGTGCTCCTGCGGCCTGGGCAGCCCCTGAGGGCAGCGGCCTTCCCGCTGGAGAGGACTGCGATTCTTTGTTAGGATTTAGCAGTTTAAGATACTGACATGTTTTCTGTTATTTTTCTGTAACAAACCACGCACGAAGCAGCCAGAAGGCAACTTATGTGTATGTTTTAGGTAAAAATGTTCAAACATCTGCTATTTTTTCCTAAAGCTATGCCAGTGTATGCATTTATGCCTAAAAAACACGGTCGAAAAGCTTCTCGCTATCTACCAATCGCTTTAGTCCTGCAGGTCAACAACCCAGGGACCGTAACATGTGTATGTTCCTGTTCCGTGTCACCGAAATTTAGTCACTGTTCACTGAGACTTTGTCTAAATGATCCTTTCTTTAAAGAAAAAAAGAGATCAGTAGTTGCTGAAATAACGCATGTGGTTTTGTTTAATCTTTAGGTCTTTGTATGGATTGGGAAAGATGCCCAAGAAGAAGAAAAGACTGAGGCACTGAAATCTGGTAACGTCACATTTTCCTTCCTGAGCTGTTTCTTATTTTCCCCACTATGTGACCATAAGGCAGGCAATTTACTGTACTGAGAAACACAGCTTCATCACAAGATAAAATTCAGTGTTACGATCCAAGAGATCGGCTCTCTCAAGAAAGAAGGATCCCCAGGATCAGCCCAAGGAGGTGCAGTGCTCAGCCCCCAACAGTGAGAAAAGGTCCCGGGGTGGGTAAGCGGGTGTAGGGTGCCGCTGTACCACACCGTTTCGTAATCTTTGTGTTGGTTTTTCTACAAACAAGCGCCAGTCTTATACCAGGTGAGAGTGAACCACAGAACAAAGATTTGGTTTGGTGGTTTAAATGAACTATCTGAAATGGCATCTCTGGTATTGACTGGGCTACAGTTAAATCTGTTAAGACTTACACTCTTACGAGATTTCCTTCTTCTTGCGTGTTTTCAGCCACACGGTACATTGAAACCGACCCGGCCAGCCGCGATAAGAGAACTCCCGTCACAGTCATTAAGCAAGGGTTTGAGCCACCAACCTTCTCCGGCTGGTTCCTGGGCTGGGATGATGACTACTGGGCTGTTGACCCGCTAGAGAGAGCAATGGCAGACGTGGATGTCTGAGTAACGAGTGTGTTCGGTTTTGAAACAGAGCAAGTTTAGTGCCTTCAACGCCTTCCGGAGCTCCTTCCTCCCACAGGATGTATCTTAACAAGGCAGTGATGTTAATAGCCAATTAGCTGTGCAATAATTACTGAATACAATCATGACCAGTCATTGACCCTCCTCCTCGCTTTGATTATATTTAATACAATAAAGCTTGTATGGAATACGTGAACAGAAATGGTGGGGGTTTGTTACAAAGAAGAAAACATTAAACAGTACTTGTAGATCCCACATCTGAACTTGCTTGAAACAAATGCACCTTAGAAGATGAAACCTTCTTTGTGCCATCTTTTGCACGTGCCCTTTATAGTAAGTGGTCACAGAAATTACTTCTGAGGTTTTGGGATTGTTATGCTTTCCCCTCATCAGAATTACTAGCATTTAAGACCCCGGTAAATTAAGAGTGTGCAGCCATTTCAGGAAGTCGCTCATTAGCAAACAGCGTGTTTTGTATTCAGGATGGGAGCGAAAAACATGCTCCTGGTGTCAACAACAACTCCCAGGGGTGGCAGCTACAGCAGCAGCAGTGGGAGCTGCAGTCTCTCATCTTCCCCACGGAGGAACCTCAAGCTGTGCAGTTACCTTTTCCACTTCAAGCGCGTGAGCACAGTGATGCAAATTATTACAGCTTAACCCTATTTTCCCCCCTCTCCCAGCAAGAAGTCAAGCTCAGCTTACACTAGCCCAAGTACTGACAAACACAGGCAGATGGGGTACTGCTTTTATGATGCAGAAGAAGAAAAAACATCAAGAGCAAACAAACAGAAGAGAAACAGCACCAACTTAGTTGAAGCCCTAACAGTGCTTGGGCATCTCTTCCTAACAGTGACAAAGGCACCGAGTATCAAGGCACAGGTAAACAGACCTTGTGCTTACTAGAACACCTGTAAATACAGAACCGAGGGTAGGAGAAAGGTGATAAAAAGCAAGTTAGGAAGTTTATGCTGGCCTGTGTGAGAAGTGCACTTAGATTGGTGACCTTGGCTTTTTGTTTTCATTGCCACCTCCCTGTAACTCGGTGACAGCAGTAGCCTAAAGAGCCTCCTCCCGCACTTCAGACTCCAATTCTTCTCATTTTCATCTGTAATTACATCTCAACTGAAGATTACACGCTTTTGGTATTAAGCATAAGCCCTTTGTGTCACAGCAACTACTACAGGTCCACTCAGAATCATCAATGAGTAAATCACTAACGTGTTAGGACAGATGCATGAGCAGTACCGCATCTCCTGAAAAACTTCATGAGGAGCTGAGATCTGCTTCTCTAGGGAGTAACATAAACCTGGATAAAATGCAGGATTTTTCAATCATTTTTAAGAGTGATGGATAACGGCAGACTCAACAACTTCTCCATGCTCTAAGGCAGCACAGCTCTATACAGGCACAGCACCGCAACAACAGCACAGCCCCTCTGGGACCGTCTTGTACCCATAACCACAGCATGTTTATGCCATTTCTGTGGGGCAGAACAGAGGTGGAAAGTTTCAGTAACAAATGTTTCTCTTGAATGGGGGACTATTTCAGAGAGCATAAGCCTGATTTACAGAAGCACCCAGTATTATATTTTCACTCCTGTATCAACTTCTATTACTTTTCCTTGGTAAGTTCAAGAAGCGATGCGCCTGACAGCAAGCTGATGACGGGCTCACGTACAGCTCTGCTCCCAGAGAATACGGTCAGGGCTGCTGCACTTCCCTTGCAGGGCTACAGACCCACTTACGAACAGGAACGCTTCTCTTTCCAAATGTTGGATCATCTCAGCCTCACCACAGCTGGTTTTATAGACAATTTGAAAATCGGAGGTTATAGATTAAAGACGTCCCATCCAAGAGAGTACGGATACATCCTTATTTTAGATCGCAATCTGCCTGTACTCATTTTGAGAGGCTTTCCATTTCAAATATTTTGATTGTGAACATTCAAACGTTTCATATAAGTTTTGTAACACACTTAGTATAACTTGCTTAACACCGCCATACGCTACAATACACGGGGAATGAAGTGTTGCAGACATTTGCTGTAGCAAAAAAAAAACCCCCCAAACTCTCTCCTCCCACTCCCCCTAGCGGTTTGCACCCATGATGCCTTGCAGCATGTTTATGGGCAATGGGAAGACGATGGTGGAGTTCTTTTCTGCAGCGATGGTGGTCAAGGTCTGCAAATAACGAAGCTGAAGAGCAGCAGGGGACTCCGTAATAACCAAGGATGCCTCTTTCAGGGCCCTGGATGCATTCATTTCACCCTCAGCTGCAATTACCTGGGGAAGCAAAATGAATTAAGTTCATTCCGGGAAAGCAATAAGGCTGAAGTCATCCTACAGATGACTCTCTCGCTGTAGTCACAAATCTGAGACACTGCTCATCACTTTGATCAAGTGACCTCCCCTTACCAGTCCTGCATTTTCTCTTGCTCAGACACAAGCTACCCTGGGCTGCTCTCAAGGTCTCATTCGACAGTTTTCCTCCCATTCAGTATCAGGATACCAGATCACAAAAGCTGGCACCGTGTCTTGAAAATAAAATAGGTGTGTTTGCTCTGTTTTCAAAAAACATCTTTTGTGCTTGTTTCAGCATTGCCGCTCAAAACCAGAAGGCACTCTCCATGTATCTGAAAATATTCTTAAAGCTGTTTTGTTTTTCTTTTTGTCTCTACAAGGGCTTGACAGGTGAATGGCATGTTTCTTCCCAGGGAAAAGCTTTTTTATTTCCTCATTCTTTTTAATTATAAGCTCATTAGGGACAGATTTATGCTCATACATTTCCTTACAAGCTATTTCCTTACAAGTATTACAGCTGGTTTATTTCTCATATGAGGTAACCAACAGAAAACAAAGGACCTGCCTAAAATCAGAGCTAGTCAGCAAAAAGGTGGAATTAAGTTTTACTTCTAATTCACTGCAGGCTCCAGCTAATAACCTCAGAATTGTTTATGATTCACCTTGGAGCATGCTAAAAAACCCCCGAGAGTCTGTGTTTTTGAAGGAAATCTCGCCTGCACTCCTATTTGCTACAACACAACCTGGCTGAGAATCTTCATCCTCCACATCACCACATTAATAATTCATTAAGGAAAATAAATAAATAAAGCCACACATTGATGTTCTTACCTTAGCTCTCGCCTCCCGGGCAGCTTCTGCTTCTGCAGCCATTGCTCTCTGCAGCTGGACAGGCAGCTTCACATCCTTGATCTCCACACGTTCCACCTTAATGCCCCAATGATCTGTTGCGTCATCAAGCGTGGCCTAGGTAAGTCAGGACAGCTAAGTTAAGCCACCCACTTGGCTGCAAACACATGTCCAAATTTGAAGAATGACCAATAAACCAAATGAATTATCTTATAAGCTTTTGGATTTTAAGGGCGCTTGTATTTATATTATAATTTAATCCACATTTGATGGATTGCTTACATAAAGCTGCTCATACCTGCATGCTGTGTGCAATTTCTTCACGATCAGAGAGAATCTGAGAAAGGTTTTTAGTCCCCAGAACATTCCTCAAAGTGGTCTGCGCTAGGAGACGGGTGGCTGAGTCAGCATTTGTGATATTTGCTACAGCGAGGGTGGCATTCTGAACTCTGTAATAAACCACTCCATCTACATTCACTGTCACAGAGTCCTTGGTCAAGATCTAAAAAGCAATGGGGAAAGCATATAGTAATTAAGCACATATTTATTGAATATAATGATAATTACGTATACGCTTTACTTGACAAACTCCTAGTTCTTCCAGGGTAAAGCAGCTGTGTTGAAAACAAAAGGTCTTGAAAGCACACGCAGCATGTGAACACATCTATGTGCAGATGCACAAAGCTTCGAGTATAGCTCTGCAGAGCTAGGACTAAATGTGGGACTTGACAAGAGAAAGAGACACGCGTGTTACTTGACCTTCAAGACCTACCTGCTCTGTCCTTCCCCAAACTATCTATTTTATCAGGCTTTTCATAATAGCATAAGGTAAACAAAGAACAAGTAGCACGCACAGAAATCACGTTGTACAAATACAAATTTTTCTGCTTTTATCTACTGAAAATAAGCAAGCCTAAATCCTTAAGCATAATTTAATCAAGCCAAAAGAAAAACTGTAGGACTGATGGCTTCACTCACTAATGGCACATCAGCAGCTGCAAGCACATCGTGGCTCCAGTGATTAGGTTTCTACCAATTACCCTTCACAGCGTACCACGACAGTGGCCATTTGTCTAAATCTACAACTAACGATGAGCAATAAACCGACCAGCAAATATGATGGGAAACAGATGCACCAGACAGGCTGCGTCAAGCATCTTTGTCTTGCAAACACACCAGATACACGAGGGTTACAGTTATAATCATCCCCATACATTTGTTCACTAACTGGTTTTTAGAGGGCTGGCTGGTTTTTATTATTTGTTATCCACTGAGCTGGCATCACCGAGTTCAGCTAGCTTAATGCTGTGCAGAGATTCTGCTAAAAAATTCAGATGACCAAGAGAAAACAGAGTAGAAATAGAAATCTTTTGTTCTGTTCTTCGGGCCCTTCAAACTGAAAGACACCAGATGGCATTAGGTGCGGTACAGTTTCATAATGTTCCTCTGCATAGCAGGACACAGGAGCAACGTGTACGCAAACCCCACATTAGAGAGTGGACCTTTACCCTGGGTTGCAATGAATAGCACTGGAGATGTACATATATGTAATAATTTCATCCCATCACTTTAGCTAGTTTATATACGGAGATAAATTGGCACAGGACGATCACTGCTGCTTACGGAAATCTTCCAGATTTCCCAGAAACAATTAGAGAATGTTGTAAGAAGTCCAGCAGCCTTCGTTCCAAACCCCTCCCATCCTAGCTCTTAGGCAGTGTTAGCTTATCTCATTTTGTCCTTAGAGGACAGCACCGTTTGCTTTCTTTCCGGGATCTTCTCTTATTGAATGATGTTACTGAAGAATATATGTACCCTTCACATACACTGAACCTGCACAAGCAATTGACATTAAAACTACACAGTACCCAATACTAGGAGGGGCAAAGAAAAAAGAAAGTTAAAAAAAAATTCAGCAAACACGTCAGCAGATACAAAAGTAAGTGCAAACTCACCTCTTGGGGAGGAATATCAAAGGAGATGGTCCTCATGTCAACTTTAATGAAGCTGTCTGTGCAGGGCAGGACAAAAAACAAACCTGTACAGAAAAACAACATTCAAAAAGATGTGGAAATGGGTCATTAAAACAGATGAAATAAGCTTAAATCCAGCCACTGTGGCTGCAGACCCCTCTTTGTAACAAGCTCAGTGACATGTTCATTAGTGGCTTTCAGACTAGGGTAAGATACTTTAAAAAGTATGCTGAGAAACTATCATTTATTCAGGTCTAACTTGTTTAGAGACCTTTAACATTTGGAAAAAAAGCCAACAAACAACCCAAAATAGAACTCTTAACAGCTACTTTTGAAAAATCTGTCCAATGTAGTTATTTGTCGGGCCTAATTCTGGCAAGCAGAAACTGCTGACCTCCTTTTGTTCTGGTGGATCACTGTAATTTGTCAACTTTACAGTAACACATAAGTATTGCAAAACCTGGATGAAAATGGAGAAGGAAGCTACTTCCCCTTTCTGTCACTTTGAGAAGCAGGAGCAACAGCTGAAAATAACCTTCTTTCAGATCTCATCAGAATTTTTAATACACACAAGAAACTTTTCAAAACTATCCAATAATTCAATTGCTTCTATTTCTTTGGAAGAACGCTGAGGCTTTCAGACTGTCTGGGTTTTAACTAACACACCAAACTCCTTTTCTGAAACAGCACATTTGCTGACATGATTCCTTTACATTCTTGCTTTCGATTCTACCCAAAGACCAGGCATTAACTAAGGAGATCTGGGTAAGGCTCACAGTTTACCATCTTCTCCATATAAAGTAATGTAGCCTGTTACTGGAAGTTACCAAATTCTTGAGCAATCCATTCGCCAGTCTAATGCAATGCCTTCATTATTTTGCTAATGATTTAAGTAATGCTCTCCAGGACGTACCTGGTCCCTTTGCTCCCCCTTTTAAGATGCGTCCAAGTCTGAATATGATGGCTCGCTCGTATTCCTTTATAATCTGTAACAGAGTTGAACGTCACGCAAGGGTTTCCAGAAGCCGTAGGACAGATTCCAAGCCACGTATACTCTAAGCTAGTCTTGAATCTCAGATATAACACACATTTCTATACTGGCTGCTTTTGAATTTTAGCCTAAACTTTATGGTCAAAAAGCAAACAGCAAAAGGAACAATCAGAACAATATTGCACAAGATACATTCTTTTGCCTACAGCACCATCTATCAAGAGCAGAAGCAATGGCACGTCATCTGGGCAGGACTGGGCATTAGCAGCAGCCATCAGGAACAGCCTGGCAACAACACAACAAAACAGAGTATATGTGACCCGGCAGAGATGTTCCCAGCTCTAATTCTGATGCAGTATATCAGCCAAAACGAAGAAGGGAGTTATTTCCTCTGGTCTGGAAACTGAGAACAGCAAACTCATTTTGACTAAATTCTGTAATCGCACTTTCCTTTTTCGTTTGAAGATTAATCTGCTGAAATGTTGAGGTCTGCTATGTACTGTCTGCTATAGTTCAAGAAAGAACAGAGATCAATTTGTTTTTAAAACAAACAAATAGAGTCCAGTAATCACCACTGCAAAGCACCCATGTTGCTTCAAGCTTTAATCCGATTTAGCAGTAAACAAAATTTTACCTTTATGCACATCCAGATTGATATAGGAAATGTAATAATAGTGAAAAAAAGTGAAGTGATCACCAGGATCCACCCACACAAACCAAGGCCCGTATCACTGTCATCTGCAAGAAAAAAGCCAAACGTGCCTGTTAAATAAAGTGCCTACAACCAGATATTTACACTGAATATTCCTGGAAATAATCCACTGTTAGCTCTAATGCTCTAGGCCAAACGCATTAGGTTTAGATCAGAAGTAAAATTAAAAGCCAAATTCTGCTGTCATTTCTGCCACTCCCTAGAAGTTGCACAAGATAGCAGAGGGCAGAATGAAGTCCAAGATATACATTTACACAGAATTAACTATGCTAACATTTAAGTGTAGACTCTCAAATGCCTCCCTCCTCCCCAGTTTTCTCAAGCAGAAAGACCAACAGGCAGTGGTAGAAATCCTGCTCTTTTACTGCCTAAAGAAACCAGAGCACCTTGCTATCATTCCAAAGGATTAAACACTGAGAAACCAGGTATCGGCCAGCCCTCTGATTAAAAGCAAGAACTGGTTCAATCTCAAGCAATTCATAACTCTAATCTTTTTGCTTACAGTATTGAAATTAGGATTTTTTTTAGCAGATGGATATATGCAACTAGCTGGTGGAAGAATATGCTAAAGGCAGTACATGTGGAAGAAAATTATCTTTCTTCCATAAAGGTAAGAGATTTTAAATTTGCAGAGAAATGATCAATTTAATTTTGAGAAAGTACATTTGAAGTAGCCATACCAATACAGGAATAAGTGCTATAAAAATATAGAAAGGCTAGTAATAAAACACTTACTTTAAAATAAGTAGTATTGGTATTCTAATATTTTATTAAATACCAATATTCAATAACCTTTCTTCAAAACGCAACTATCATGAATAGCTATAACTGAAAAGCAACTGTTGACACCGAGGAGTTGCAAGGTTTGATTTTAAGGCAGTTGTGAAGCAGTTTTCCACGCTGCAGATGCTGATGCGGCACCAACAGCAGAAGGTTCACTTTTACCTTGCAGTAACTCTAGCTAGTCCACTTTGGGTTTCTCTTGCTTGATTTTCTAAAGTGCCAAACACTGCGTCACATACCCCTACAGCTTCAGCTCAAACTTACAATATTCTTCCTCTTTCATCATTAAGGTATTAAAAACTCACACCTGAAATTTAGTCAGACCAATCTTATTTGTGGGCAGTCTGCAATAGACTACATATCTCTTTAAGAAATAAATCACAAAGAGAAAGAATATTAAAAAGTGTTAACTGAATCACCCTGTCATCCCTTTAAGGCTGACTGGAATGTTACTTGGATCATCAAACAGTATTAACAATTTATAATAAACCGTGCTAGAGGCTGAAAGGATAAGCTCTCATTCCCATCCGAGGTGTGGCATAGACCTGCAAGTTATTTTCTTCTGCAAAGATTACACAATCTGAACTAGAACATTACTATCAAACAGCAAAAACGTGCCAGACTCCTGGGAACCATGAGACGAAGGGACCTTTGCCCACAACCACGCAAACAACCCACCAGATTTAACCCAGCGCACATGGGAGAACAAGTGGACCGAATACAAGGCCAGCACTGCTAGATAGAGATCACCGCTTTCATGCCGCTGGGTCAAATCCAGGATAGCCTGGGACTGACTGAAGGGTGTTATTCTACAAGAGTCATTCAATTAGCAAACAGTCAGAAACAATAAGTAATACTATCAATGAGAACTAAATGTCTTTTTCAGATGCTTCTCAGAGCATTTCCCATGAGCAACAGCCAAAACTATTACATCAGATAACCAAACTTATGTCTAATGCCATTTATTCTGTAGATATTTTATTATAACAAAAATAACTGGTAGCTGGCTTTAGCCTCCAAAGCAACAAATCACACAGCAAGTACAGAAGAAACAAACTGAGCAGCACGTAAAGTGAAAGGCTTGCCAAGTCCCAGGCAAGGTTAGCATCAGAGTGACCACTGTTAGGTATTAATAACTACATACTGACAGAATGAAACGGAGATCCTCCCCAAGGATATGAGAACTAGCATGTGCTGTTAGGCATGGGCTCAAACAGATCTACGGTTATTTATACAACAACTCAGATTACCTAACAGAAGCCTTTGTATACGAAGTGATCTTATAAATACATTTCCTTCTCCAGTCGCAAATGAGTGAAACATAAAATAAACCGTTATTTTTCTGCACTCTGCTTCTGAACCACGCAGGTAACAGGAAAACACTCCAGCTCCAGGGGCAGAAACTTATTTGTGTTGTTCTAGCGCTTCACCTCCAAAACTTGTTGGCCTGGGTTACGCTCACACCAACTAACTGAGAGGCCAAAACCCACTAGAACAACACAACCACGAAGTAAAAACAAACTACCGTTTCTCTACCCGACTTGAGGAAATATAACTGGATTTTATCGTGTCCTCCAGTTGCATCCATCCAACATTTCGCTCAACTGGTGTAAACAACCAGTCCCCGAATTCCTTCTGCTATTCATTCACCAGCGCCTCAGGGAGCCCTTCTGTTGCTCTTAATTACTTATTTGGCTTTTCCCTCAGCGATCCGAGTTACCGTACGGGAAAAATAAACACACAGAAGGAAAAAAAAACCAAACCACAAAGAAACAACCCAAGTTTCTCAACCGTGGCCGCTCCCCAGCGATGCTGTTTCTCAGAAACTGGGGTGGGGGGGGGAAGCTCAAGCAGAGCTGAGGGGAGCTCCTTTCGGCAGGATTAACCTCGGCGCGAAGCACCCGCACAAATCGGCGACTAAATAAATTATTAATTCCAAACCGAAAGAGAAAACGCCAAAGCACTCCAGGACTCGTATCCCTCCCCACCCACCTCTCCCCTTCTTCTCGGTTACCTTGAGCCCGCCGGCCTTTGGGCGCCATCCCCGCTTCGTGATCCGCCATGGC